CCCCTCTAGCCAACTGGCGCAGCCTTGCGGGGCCTTTCCCAGGTTGCCTTGCGCCTGGCTGTCGCGGTTGCCGGGCAACGGATGATCCAGGGCGCGGGCCCCGCTGGGTTCTGCCGCGCCATGGGGCCGCAGGGCCTCCGGCCGCTTCTGCTGGTGCTTCTGGCCGGCTGGGCCTCCGTGAGCGCGCAAGCCGTGGCCACTCCCGCGGAGCCGACGGAGGACATCAACTCCACCGAGGCACCCCCTGCCACTCTCGGACCCTCCTTCGCGCCTAGGACCCTAGGCACCTCCAGATCCCCGGAGCCCTCCTCCAGCCCCAGGCCCGTCCCCGTCACAGATGGTGGGTACCCTCAGCTACCTCCTGGGAGGTCCAGAATGATCCAAAGTGGAGGGGTGGCCCGAGTGATGACTGAAAGAGTAGCAGTGATAGTTAACAGTGTGCTGACAGGCAGAGTGTTCCGCAGGCCTGAACCCTCCCACCAGTGACCCTGGTAGATGACAGCATCCATGTCGTATAGATGAGGAAGCCGAGGCTCAGAGAGCGTGAGTCCGTATCAGCTTTGAAAGTTCTTGCCTTGACTCCGGATACCATTAATGCTGAACTCAGTAATGAGTGCATGAGAACAGCCGCAGGTGAAATTAAATAGAAAGTGTTCGGACAGTGGTGGAAATGAATGCATAGGCTGTATTGAACTTACTATATTAAAGACAGGCACCAAAGGTCCAGCTTAGTAAGTGTGAGCGAGTGAAGGGGTTGATTCGAATTGCAACACCTCAGGGTCCTGTGTTTGGTTGGAGGTGGGAAGGTATGGGCTGAGTGGTTAGTCCTACTTTCTAGGATTTATATTTAGGGATAGTTAACATATCTCTCAGGAGCTGATCTTCAAATTCTGTAATTACAAATTTAGTGAATATTTTATAATCCGATTTGACACGGCAACCTTGGGATGTCAGTGATGCCTTGTGCGTGCAGAAGTTGATGAAAATGTGTTTCTGGGCTGAGGGTCATGGTAGTCAGCAGGTTCTCAAAAGGGTTTGTGATCTCAAAGTTGTTTGTTAATCTTGTGTCTGGATTGAGAGTAACTTCAGTAGGTATGTATTTTAATTTCTGTTTGAGAGAAAAAAATTTTTCTTTAAGGCTCGTGTAAGTTAAAAAGTCATTATTGACTGACACCCTGAACTCCAGGAGGTCAGGATGTTAATTTGGCTTACTGAGCCGTTATTTCTCCAGAAGGCCACCTTTGGAAATTATGAGTAGATGGTAAGAAAAAGTAGAGTCAGGAATGTAGCCCAGTGGTAGAGGGTGTGCTTAGCAGGCAGGAGACCCTGAGTTCAAGTCCCAGCACCAAGAAAAATTACAGAAGAATATATTTGCTACTTTAATATATAAACAAAATCTTTACATTTATCTCCTGTTCTGGTAAATTAATAGGAAAATCTTTGACTTACTAGGACAGACTATAGCCAAGTATTCCATGTCCTAAAATTGTCTAAAGTTTTTTGGGCTGGGTTGTCTTTTATCCATATAAAAAACACTTCATCTATTAAGGCATTTTCTCCCTTGTTTTTCCAGTATAAGTGATAAATTTGTACCTTTTTTTCTTTTGGTACTGGGGTTTGAACCTAGGGTCTTTGTACTGAGCTATATTTTCTGCCCTTTGAAAAAATTTTGTTTTAAATTTTGAGTCAGGGTCTCTCTCACTAAAGCACTACATTGCTGAGACAGGGCTTGAACTTTTGGTCCTCCTGCCTCAGCCTCCCAGAGTGCCCGGATTACAGGTGTGCACACCATACCCAACTTGATTTCCTTTTTAAAGGATCATTCTTTAGACTTGTGACAATAATAACTCATTTATTAACTGCTTATTGAATGGCAGGCACTATGCCAGGCATTTCACCTGTGATGTGTCTTAATCATCACAGCAACCTAATGGTGTGGGCACTGTTACTTTATTTTTCAGGTAGGTGAACTGCCTACTTCTGGTCACATAGCTGCTAGTGCTGGAGCAGGAGACTGCCTCTGGACAGCTAGGTGGGAAGTTGCAGAACGAGGTTCAGGCGGTACTGGTGGGAGAGAAGCAGGGTCCCCGCTGTCCGGGCCAGGCGTGCAGATGAGAGGCTTAGAAGGGCAGCTGAGTGCTGCTTGGGTCCAGTGAGGGCTCACAGGTCCTTAGTGGAAGATTCAGTGCACTCACATCTCAAATAGAGACCTTTATCCCCCCTCAGGAGGTGTTAAACACTATTGCTTAATGCTTAGGAGTCTTATAGCTACCTATAAAAGGGTTTTAAATTTTGTAAACAAATGAAGGTTGTAAGTCTAAACACATAAGGCAGGGAGCCGAACTGTCCTTTCCACTTCTTACATTAGTGTGTGTGGGGTCCATCTCTTACTAAGCACATGCTGATTGACACAGGTAACCTAAGGAGAAGACGTTTGTAAGAAAGCGTCTTGTAGTTATTGATAAAACCTTCTCCTCCACGGATGTGGTGGCACACACCTATAATCTAACTTGGAAGGCAAAGGCAGGAGAATAACTGTGAGTTTGAGGCCTGAACTGTATAGTGAGATCCTGTCTCAAAAAAACAAAAACCCCCAAAACCTTCTTCTCTCACACTCTTCTGAAGAGTATGTTACACTTTTTGGGGGCCATATTCTTCTAAAGCTCATTTTTATCATGAAAAATTCAGAGATACAAATAATATTGTATGAGCCCTCTGTTAGCATTTGCAGGCCCAGGATATAGTTCAGTGGCACAGCACCTGCCTGGCAAGTACAAAGTCATGAGTTCGAGTCCCAGTACCCCCCTCCCCCAAAAAAAAGCATTTGTGTGAGATTCTTTTCTTGTTAGTATGTTGCTTTTTTGGCTTGAGATCTTTTTCTGGAAAAAAAAAAAAAAGCAAACCATTATAGAAGATTGAAGCTCTGCTTTTTTTTTTCTTTTTTTTTTTTTTTTTTTTTGGTCTTTCTTAGGCAGGGTCTCGCTATACAGTTCAGGCTGGCCTTGAGCTCATTTTGTAGCTCAGGCTGGTCTCGAACTCACCACGATCCTCCTGCCTCAGCCTCCCAAGTGCTGGGATTACAGGCATGTGCCACCACGCCCAGCTTGAAGCTCTGCTTTTATTTCATTTCTATCCTCCAAGCAATAATCTCTACCATCAAGTCAGTGTTTCTATTTTCATGCTCTGCTATTTTTTTTTTTGGACTCAGTGGGTTTTTTTGTTTTGTTATTTATTTATTTATTTATTTATTTTTGGTCTTTTTGAGACAGGGTCTCACTATGCAGTTCAGGCTGGTTTTGAACTCACTTTGTAGCCCAGGCTGGCCTTGAGCTCCTCCGGCCTCAGCATCCCGAGTGCTGGGATTACAGGCGTGTGCCACCATGCCCAGCACTGGGCTTAGTGGTTTTTAATCCACATAGTGTGTATGATAAGAAAACTGGTGCACGTTTAAATTGTTTTAGAAATTTATCACAACAAAGATCCATTGCCGTTAATCATCCTCAAAATCCACCGCTTCGCTCTGAACGCACTTACCCTCTCCTTCTTGCCAGTTGCCAAAGCAGCTCTGGAGCCCTTTCTTGTGTCTTTAGTTCCACTGTCGTGGCTGACTCAGCATCCTGAATTGATTCAAAATGATCATTTCATGGTCATTTTGACACTGGGGAAGAGCAAGAAGTCACTCGTTGCCAAATCTGGTGAAGAAGGTGGAGGAAGACACACCCTAGTGTTTTCGAGCCTGCCTCTCTGTTGGATGGCGCTTGGCAGCCACATTCACTATATTTTTGATCACACCTCGTAAAGACACAAAAGAGGACTTCTGACACTGTGTCCCAAAGTGGCAGGAATATGGTATGGAATGTGGTCACATCGAGAGGGAATACTCTGAGAGGGGTGAATGGCAGTGTGTCTTTTAGTGTAATAAATTTTTAAATTTAAATATGCACTATTTCAGTCACCCCTGGTAATTACTGCATCGGTTAAAAATGGAGATACACATACGAGGGTTAAAAATCTAGATACTCGTCATCAACAGTGAAAAGCTGTGTAGTGGAGATTCCCGGCTTTCCTTCACGCTCTGTCATCTGAGTGCCTATAGGTGGTCTGAACTCCCGAGGCAGTCTGATTCTTGGCCAAAGCCTGTGAACATGAGCTCAGCGTCAAAGCTGTAGCATACCCTGTATAAGAACTGGCACAAGACTGAAACCCCGTTTTCTCTGGCGTTAAAGTGTTAAGTTGGTCCTTCCTCCAGTTATAACCTAGAGCAAGAGGGGCTTGGGAATGTGGGACTAGACCCACGGCTCTGATGGTCAGGCAGGTGGTTAGTTGTGCTGGTTTTTAAACACGTGCCAGGGATCAGTGTCACCTGCAAGTTTTGAAAAACATAGCCGTCTGGGCTTCCCACGCAGCTTTCCAAGTCAGAGTCCTTGTACCCGAGCGTGAACAGAGCGTCCCGAGTCGGGTGATCAGCCGCCTCCCTCCGGTGCAGAGGGCTCAGACCGACGCAGACCCGCGCTAGGGAACGCGAAGCAGACCTTTTGTCCAAAACTGGTTTCTAGCAGGGGGCAGTCACCACTCACTGACGGCGGCACTCTGACTCCTGCCCTCTTCTTCCTGCAGTGGCTGCTCTGTGTGTCTGTGACTTGTCCCCCGCCCAGTGTGATGTCAACTGCTGTTGTGACCCTGACTGCAGCCCTGTGGACTTCAGTGTCTTCTCTGCTTGCTCAGTTCCGGTCGTCATGTAAGTGCGTGACATGTGGTTTTGATACAGTGTGGCTGACCAGGCCAGTAAAATCTGGGGACAGAAAGTGAAACGCCCGGGCTGAAAGACCCAAACCTAATTCCCCATATCTTGCGTGGGTTGGGAGCCGTCCTGGACAGAGCAACATCAAAGCAGTAGCCAGCCCTTATTTGCGTCTAGTAGCTTGGGCAAAAGAGAAGAGTCTGCGGTGCTCAGTGTAGAACGAGGTGCTTCCGCCGGAGGTGAGCAGGTCTCTGTCACATATTCCGTATCAGTGGGCCAGACCCTCGTGGCGGTGAAGAGTGCAGTTTAATTCCACAGCTCTTGTTGTGGACGTGGCACTTGTAACCAAGAATTGAGCAGATAGGAATGTTTTGTTTATACTCTTTGCTGCGTGAGTCTAGCGGGAGTTCTCACAGCTCACACACAGAACGGATGCCTCCCAGTGGCTGACAGGGTAAAGATAAGCTGCTCAGAATGATTTGTTGTCAGACTTCAGAGCATTTTGGAAAAAAAATATCAGCACTTCAAAAAGGTTTACTTATTCAGGACGGACCAACTTGCTATTCAGAGAGGGAATGTAAATTCAGCCTTCTGGCACATTTTAACAGTTGACACTTGGCAGGTTGAATCTTTTTTGGAAGTACCTGGGTTTTTCCCATGAGAACCGATTTTATTGACCCAATGGGAAATTGAATCTGTTTCTAATGTTGTAAAAAAAAAAAAAAAAAAAAAAAAGCCTGGAGAATGGGGTGAGGGGAGTCAGATTAATTTTCTGACTATAGCATGGTTCAGTCTTTCTTGAAAATCAGTCTGCTCTCCTGCCTAGGTAAGTACAGGAGCCGGAGAGCGAGATTTCTACTTTAAGCCGGGACCATTTTTAGAATGTCATTTTTTGTACAGTCCGTGTGATCATTTTAGCACACTTTTTTTGTAGAGGGCCAGATAATAAATATTTGAATCTTCACAGGTCGGCAGGTCTGTGTTGCAGCTTCTCAGCTTTGCCTTGGCTGAGCAGAAGCAGCTAGAGACACGGAAGTGAGGGCAGGGCTGTGGCTACAGACACAGGCCAGTCCGCAGACTGAATCCACAGCACCCTCAGGGAAGGGCCTCAGCATTTTTCTGAGTTAGTTTGTTTGTGACTTTCTCCTAAACGTGAAATATAGAAATAACTAAATCAAAAATCATAATCTTGAGGGTTTTCATTATATAGATTCCAGTCCTTGAATGATTTGCTTGCATTTGTCAAACGGTCAATAGCTTCTCCCCTGAAGAACAAACAAAAAAACCCCAGCAACTTCTCCGTTTGGCTATGGTAGTGTCACAAGAAAAGAGCACAAGAAAAATATGTCCTTCGTGTATCCGCAGCGCCTAGAACTGCCCGTGCCACACAGCTGGACCTCATTAAAAATGAGTGCCCGGGTGGGACTCAGTGGTAGGAGGTGCGCTTGGCGTGATTTCCATCCCTAGCACTGCAAAAAAA